GTGTAGTTTTCTAAAGACTTTATCAAACTGGTCAAAGTTATGTTCTTTACCGTACGGCGATATTCCAAGTACAGTGGATGGTTATCTACCAGATAGGAGCCATAGACTTTTATAGTGAAGCCCAGACTGTCGTCCACGATAATTTCCAGTTGTGGTAGGAGATACGCTTCAACCATTTTCTTGAAAACAATTCTATCGCAAGGACCGCGGGGCGTAAATTTGTTTGGGGGGGCTAGCGGCGAGGAGGTATTAGGGGGGTTCGGAATTTTTTTGAAATCTTAACTCTCGGAAATGTCATTTCCAGCGTTTTGAGGCGTTATCAAGTTTACCGCACTCACGTTCAGCGATATTATCAGTAAATCCCCAAAGAGCTTCAATTTTAATTGTTCACGCTCAGTTTTTGCACAATCTTTATAGAATATATATGGTGAAATTTCATAAGGAGGCTATTCGCTTCTTTATTTAAGAAAATTCAAAATGTCGGGAAAATTATTGGGGGGGCTGTAGCCCCCCAGCCCCCCCAATATGTTTACATTCGTCTCTTGTTCTCTTACGACAGATCGTGCTGGTCGTGGTACTGGCTTTGATGGTTCGTGGCTTTTTTTAGGCATATTTAAGACTGGTAAAGCACCATATCTGGGCTTCTTTTTAGTCATTTTCACTGAATTAACTGCAAAAAAAGCAAATCAAAATCAAAACAACATATYTAAGAACAAGGCACTTAGCAACGCGCGATCAAACGATTACATGTAAACATTAACTCAAACACGTTATAAATGTGCCTCTTACTTACATATTTCAATATCCTCAGGTTTGAAATGCCTTTCACAGATGAAAACTCTGTCATATTTTAGTTGCTTTCTCTATTAACTATGTGTGGACGCAGTTCAATCTATACGTTTTCACACCTATTGAAAACGGATACAAACGAAAACGCTTTAGTGTGGACGGGGCTGTACCGTAAGTTCGATCGTTGATTGGGTAAATACGGTGCTCGCGTGATACCGTACTTTAGCCGTATCGTGAGCGTGATTCCTGATTAGCTGACAGACTTTCTACCAACTGGTCTACGTCCATATGGCTGGATCATGAGATTAACGCGATGATGCTGGCACATGTGTAAAGGTATAAAAATAGTTGATAATTTCAAAGCAAATCTTGCTGGACTTTTAGAAACTATTTGTGAATATAATATTCCTGAAGTGTAAATGTTTTATTTTGCAACGTTGAATTCACTAGCTCTCTATATTGAAATTACTCTCAAATTTGTTTGCTCAAACATCAAAAAAGCCCGTTTACAGTGGCTTGCGATTTTTGCAGAGCGATTTTCACGACGATTGTCGCGCTCGCACGACCGTCGCCTGAGTTTGGAACATGTTTGAAAATTGGCTCAYAACATTGCGGCGATTTGCCATCGTCGCAACAATCGCAGGGCTGCATGTGTACATGTACGATATGAGTTGCGCGATAGCAAATTGGCGATTATCGCGTTGCAAAAATCGCAATTGTAAACGGGCCTTAAGCAATACGTACGAAGTGTAATAAACTACTGCACTTTTACAGTTTAAGTGCCTTGGTACGAGTGCCCGCAACTGTCGGCATCATCAGTAGTTCCATTTTCTCCCATTTCGTGCCCAAGCTCCTCTCTTTCAACATTCTTTATCTTTTCTGAAATATATTCCCTCAGTACGTTACGTAGAATAATGTATGAATGAAGGGAACTTTTTAACGGTTAATGTATGAATGAAGGAAACTTTTTAACGGTTTTTACAACCGTTTCTTTAGACTATATAAAAGAAATCCGTCAACAGCGGAGGAAAATTGCCAAATTGGTAGAGAGTTAGGTCTTCTTTATCAAACAAGACTTAGCTACACAAACTCGTGATGTTTTTTAAACGTTTGCTGCRRACTGGCTGGCGGGGGGCGAGTCTGTTCCCCAGACCATACAATGCAGTCTGTAGACGATGTAATCAGTTTTAAGGATATATATCCGCTGTCAGTCAGTTTTAAACAAATAATATTCAAACTTGGAAAATTTATAGATTTGAAGGTTTTTTTTGCAATAAGATCGACGAGTTTTTTTGCTAGACATCTGTTGTTCAACGTTTAGAATTCCCAAGATAACATTAAAACATAAAAGAATATTTAGATAAACTTATTAGCAACTTTTCTGTACCTTTGCGTGCTTTTCGTTATAAATATTACAATAATAGGGAAAATAATTTATAAATCTATGATGTTGCGGTACAATGATAAAAGTGTAGTATTATAGTGAACACAGGAGCTCTTTATGAGAAGTATAAGTGAAGAAAAAACGAAACAAAAAACAAAAAACGTTTATGTAAGAATGCATATTGGCCGCCAGGACTCGTAGCAGTGTAGATAAAAATGTTTGTGCATGATTATAAATCATATTCGTCAGTGCTTGTTAACTCACCGGTGACTCAAAAAAGTGACTGACAGGGCTGTAGTTAAACTTAAGTAACAATGCGCTAAAGAACTAGGAAACTCTCTATTGTTCTGCGGCATAGCAAGTTCCCCATTTACGAGTGTCTTGGTTTTCACACTGATTATGTATCCATCTGTGGGTAACACATTTTTGAAATAAAATGTGGATAAACTCTATTTTGAAACAAAGTTTCTTTTGTATTAAAAGCTCTTATCCAATCATAAGTACTCAAAACAATAGCCAAAAGATGCTTCTAATTTGCTATGTTCCCCACGTAGAATTGCCTTAATATTAAAGCTAAAGAAAGCTTTCATGAAAGCGAAAACAGACATTAAATAMAATATTASAAAAYTCGCTAACTTGTGAAATTATAGCAGATTTTCATGTTTTAACCAATGGGATGGATGGATTATACAATGCGCAATTAGCACCTTCTTGCATTCCTGTGCCGTTTGCTTCCCTAGTTCTTACTCGGGGCATTACTTAAATTTCTTTAGCTGAAATTCCTGTTTAATTGTTGCCATATTTGATATAGACGTACCACTTAGAAAACATCCATAATGAGCAGCGTGTTCAACTTTTATTTAAGGATCAATATGAGGGCGCTGTTATGACTACCCGGTAGGATATAAAGATAATAGAGTATTAGAAAAAATGCATTATAAAATCGCAGCAAAAATCGAGTGTGTGAACGGCCTTTTTGTGGCGCTTCCGAGCAAACCATGAATGATATATTTTGGCCTATCCCTCGTTCCAACACTGAATCAAGCCACTTCATTCTCTTCCATTTCCTTTTCCTCCATTTCACGCTCAGGTTCCTTGCTTTCAGCTTTCCTTGTCTTAGCTGCCACGTACTCTCTAAGTCTGTATGTTCCATAGTATAACGAATGAATAAGAGGAGCTGCAATTAGCATAGCGGCCAATAGTAGTCCAACCGCTACGCCAGGATTAGTGTTATAATCCATCATTTTATATATGTAATCCTTGCTTATAAATGCCCAGTACAGCACTGTAGCTATCATATATAGAGAAACGAAGATCATTGGGTATACCATATGGAACAGGCGCACGGGCATGCAGCTCAGGGCGTGGTCAATAATCATAAAAACGGCATTAAGGAGGTGGACGTTAACATCTGAAAGAGTTATCCCCATGCCATCGTAATCAAACAACCAGAAGAATAAAGTGACTCCAATCGCCATGGTAGCAGCAATACTATACCAGAACCATTGAATCATGTGAAACCATCTCGCTTGGCCGTCAGAGGCATGCACGTGGCCTCGTTCAGTGTCCGTAGTGTGAACTTGTCTTCGTCTTCTCTTTATGTATTCAAAGATGGTGACGACCGATGACACAAGGAAGTAGATAATTAGAGCAAGGTAAGACCAGTTCGTGACGTAGAAGAATGTGACCTTTTGGCGGAACTTCTCGTCTGCGATTAGTCTGTAGACAATCCATGATAAGCTGTAAAGGGCGAATACTGATCGATAGAGGATGACCACAGGTGTTGGGAGCCACTGTAATAAAGACATAAGATATTGGGAGTCAGTTTGGCGATGCAACGATTGCATTAATGCATATTTGGCAGCATAGTCCTTATTACGACCTGCGGAAAGCCTTGTGATGCAATGCATTTTGGAATTGATAAATGAGTACACGAGGGAGCAACGACGATATCAGTGTTCCAGTTGTCGATCTGTGACGCAGAATTATTTTTAACGAAAAATATTGGGAATATTGACATTGTAGTTAATCTCAGAAGCAGTACTTCAAAAAACAACAACAACAACAACAACAACAACAACAAATGTCAACAAGCAATAGCAAATACAGCAAGAAAAACCTCCAAAAAATGTTCAGTTAATCGAGAATTACCATTTACTAGGCAAATGAAGCAAAAATGAAAACAAACATATTTTGTCTGCGGGAAAATCGAAACGATTTTAGCGATTTGTTTTGATAAAGAAAGGGAGATTTATATCCCAGGACACATTGCAAACCGATTCAAAATGGCGGGCTTGTAATATGGTCTATGAACCAAAGATGTTTGTACAGAGTCTAGACCACAATGCAATGCAAACTGCTATCTCAGAAAAGGCTTATGATTGCTTGGCGACGCAAAACACAAACACAGGCACACAATACATACGCAACTTATTAGCAAGAACAAATAATAATTAGGGAAATACAATAATTTTTTATTAAGCAGTCCAAAAACAGAGCGAGTCCCTGCACTACTTCAAAATAAGAATAGGCCACTCTAAATCAATGCTTTCTTTAATTATAGAAACGGCAAAACAACTTGTTTTTTTTTAATTACAATGAGTAGCCCAAAACGAAATTCCTTTTCTCTTGAAAATGCTACCATTTGACAAACCAAATCAAGGAGCTACTTGGCCGGAGGCTACAACGTTTAAATATCTCGCCAGCTGCGCAATCAATGATGTGTTCGAATAATTTTTAAAAAAATGTTTTCCGTGATCATTATTTTGCTTGGATTAAAAATTTCTAATGATCGAGGTCTGACAATAATCAGGCATTAATCCCCGAACACGCCATTCAATTCTATACGTGTGGTCTATAGATCTTTTCGCTCGTCAAAGAATCACGCCATAATATGCATAAATTTTCTCCGTGTAAAACAATGTTGTTTTGAAGTTGCTATTATTCATTGAAGGGCATATCAATAATTTAACTTCGCTGTGAATCACGAGATATTTGCTGAAAAACATTCGGTTTGCACACAAACATTGCATGCGCAAACATTTTTGCATACACGTAATATTCGTAAGTTTCAAAAAAAAGTCTCTGAGTTCTATCAGGATCCGATCAATAGGTTTTTTTCCACATTTATGTGTCCTTTTGGCWAATGTTTTTCAGGTGAAAAACAAAAATCTTTTATAAACTTTTAGAAGTACTGTTGATGATTTAAGAGGTTCGAAACTTGTAAGTTTATTAAATGTTGTTGTTAAGATTAGTATGGTGAATACAATCAAAGCTACATCTATTTTAATATTAAATAGGTAACAGTTTCAAACGACTTCATTTTCTCGATTTCTGTGTCAAACTTTTTRCACTATAATGTTGAACATATCAACCGCGGTATCACGGTATCACAAAAATGGTGGAAATAATAGAATCGTACTATGTACAATAATAATTGCAAACAACGCGATAACAATATACATGGATTTCTTTAGAAATGGCGCTCAGAAAAAGGAGCTTAAAAAAAACAACAACAACGTTGCAACCTTAAAAAAAAAAGCGAATATTTAAGCATACACAGAGCATAGCATTTGAGCTTCAATATATAGTAAATATTGGACGACCAGCACTTCAAATATTTGACGACCAGAACTGTTAAATGGACGTAAATAACAAATATTCATGAACTTACCGGTGACTCAAAAAAGTGGTTTACAGGGCTGTAGTTGAACTTGAAGTTCTTTAGCTGGAATTCTTGCTTAAACGTTAGCGGCATTGCGGAATTCAGTTACTCTCAGAAATCCACAGCAGAGTACCTTTGATTTTTCACGTAATTAAGGTGGTGTACACAAGTAATGAGCAGTAGTCATGACTACCGTATATAAATAACGGGTCAAACCACGCTTGCTCTCCATGAGGCTTAGGAGTTTTAAAAGTTCAGTTCATGACACACCTCGTGCCATCTTTTAGAAAATCACTTTTATCCGAAAGGTAACACGCTGCCAAGTACTTCCGTGAAGAAAGAAATAGATTTTGAATTGTATTTTCTGAGTTATAGGCATTTGAAAATTGAAAATGCAAATGAAGTGACGTCAACTACGGAATTAGTCCTGATATGACGTTTTACATTGTTTGTGTTATGTTGTTCTTGGTTGAAGAGATCA